AAGTTCACCTTTCCACTGGTAGCGAAACATAGGCAATTTGGTTAGGTTTTGTAGATAAGATGATGGAAAAGAATTATAAATTTAGGAACAAATACGTAAACAGAAAAGGAAACTACAATTTCAGAAACATTATTGCATGTATTGCTTGGAAATTCACCTTCTGAAGACATCTGGAGATCTGATGTTTGACATAATCTGGCGGGGAGTCACATGACTAGGTCCATGTTTGTTGTCGACAGAGATCTGGACGTAGATATTAATTGGTTCACTTGAACATCAGGAAGTCTATCAAAGTGGTTGGCCAAGATCTTGATTTGAACCATCTCTGGTGGATGATGCCCTAGACTTTTTCCATTTTGGTAGACTGGGGACTGTTTCTGCATATTGCATTCCATGAGACAGTATTTGGACATAAGTGGATCCGATAGGTAAGATGAGCAAAGCACTTCGTGATACCAGCCATATGACCACACATGATTAGGAACATACTTCATCTATTCCTGGCATCAAGGATAGAAGTAAAATACTAACGATAAACCGAGCAACATAATACGGTTCAAAAAATGTAACCGAAATATTCGTGATCTGACATTTTGTGCAATGGTATCGAATCTCCTGTTAGCAGCTGCCCTTAAAACTCCTCTCCAGCCACAACCAGCCGAAGATGCTACGGATATTCACTCAAATACAGCCAACTTGAGACGATAGCTTACGGATACCACCAGATCATCGTTCAACTAAAAGGAATTGTTAGTAGGAGATTTCTATGTAGGAGTGTGAGCCATGAAACATGAAACACCCCTCAACACCTCAAAAGCTGCCCGGTTATCAGTAGGTACGATACACCATCAAAGAGTTGGGGCGATTTGGCTGAACAAATAATCCTAAAGAGCCCTCTTGGTTATGAAAACAGAAGTTGAGATTGATTCACATCCTTATCGGATACTGTGATCGTGGGAATCATTATATAATAGTATATGAAGTGGTATGGATTCCTGCATGGTGCGGTGTAAAATGGTAGAGGTAAAGAAGCTTTGGACTCTCAATGCACCTGGGGAGAGAAAACGATAACATTTTGTTAGAATAATAACTATAAAGCTCTTCTTAAGGATGATGGAAAATTGTTTTGATATTCGTCTGAGAATTGAAAAATTGAAGCCATCCTTCTTGCATACACTCTGGTACAGGCTTTGAATATATACACACGAATCAAATACGAAATATCCGGAGGCTGATTCAGAGTGCGAGATAGTTTCTTTGCTAGCTAGTCGGGCTAGCTATGCCTGAAAGGTACTTGCCCACAAAATAATTCACTAGAACGAAATTTAAATGTAGACACAGGTTTCATCATTAAGCTGCTAATATGATGGAAATTAAACGCATTACAAGTGAACAAGTCGGAGAGAGGATATATTAACAAACTGACCATATGAAAATTCATTAGCCAATCGGGTCAGTGACTCTGGAGATTTACTGGCCCGACAGGATTTTTACTAGCAACGGGTTAGCGCACAGTGGCTATTTCTGCACAGTGGACTGATTCAATGATTTCTTTTTCATTGGTAGGGGATAGGCCGTTTGGCAGGGTTATTTGTAGATTAGATCATGAAAGGAATGCTCACGTTCGAGAATCAGACATCCATGCTTGAGATCCGATGTTTGACAGCATCTGGCCGAGTTACAGGACTATGTCCATGTTTTTGTAGTCCCTAAGGTCTGCACGCACAATCGGAATAGAGTGTCTCAGTGGTTGGCCAAGATCTGGAGTTTCATCACGCAGTGAGTGAGAGGCATCTCCTGACGAGATCCTGAACATTGTCAATTTTGGTAGGCCCAGGGCTGTGTGGTCCGCTTATTGCATCTGATGACAGGTGTTCGACAGACGTGGATCCGATAAGACACGTAAAATAAGCAACGCACTTCATGATACCAACCACATGACCGCACATGATTAGGATACTCCAACCTCTACGTTTAGTATATGGATTAGTAAAATACATTAAACTGAACCATGATACAGTTCAAATGTCGACGAAATATCAATATGATCTGACATTCTCGTGGCAATGGTATTGAATGTTGACAGTTGTCGTTCAAAGTATTCACCAAATACAGCCAACTTGAGACAATGCTTACGGATACCACCAAGTCATCGTTCAACTAAAAGGTGTTAGCGGGTCTTTCATGTAGGAGTGTGAGCCATGAAACATGAAACACCCCTCAACATCTCAAAGCTGCTCGGTTTATCAGTAGGCAACACGATACACCATCAACGAGGTGGTCATGTGAAAGAAGGGCATGATTGTAGAGATTACTATAGAGTATCATATAAAGTGGTAATATTCGTAATATTCCTGCACATGTACGGTGTAAATGGTGGAGGTATTGAAGCTCTGGACTCTCAACACACCTGAGGAGAAAAGATAGAGTATTTTGTTAGGATAAGAATAATTGTAAGAGATCTTTGTTTGAGTTGATGAATTAACTTGTAATGTTCATAATGATGGTTTTGATGTTCAGAGGGGAATAGGTTTGTAAAAGCAGAACCAAAAAACAGTGCAAGACAGCTGCCAAGTTAAATGAATATCATCTGCACTCAGTGAAATGATTCTCAAAAGTTTTGAATGGTTTTATTGTCATAACTGGCGTACATACCTGGAGAGGTAACAGGAGGATGGTTGCTTGCAGTCATGGAGGGACTGATGGCAGCGTGTGGTTGATCACTGGGATTACTGGGGTGATGGATGCCAACTGAGGATGACAAGCTAGGTGGCTGACGGTAGAAGACTGCTAAGAATGTGACTGATGATTGACCGGGACACCTAACGTTGTCTATCTTCTATTTGTGTGATAATGACATCTGAAGAAAGAAAAGAGCTCGGTTCCAAATGCGGAAGGAGAAACATGTAAGCATTGTTACGTCATAGTCAATATTGTAGCCAGTTGTTACTGCGTATGCCATATACCCAAAGCGAATGCAAGAACCCATTAATATCTATTAAGCTAAAACATGCATGGCATTCTACCACACGTGACACTCCCCAACGCCCCCTGGACGACACGGCCGGCTTCTGTTTCCTCTTTCACTCCTACAAGGAAACAAGCAATACGTATACCTCTTTCTCCGATCCAAGCAGTACGGTTTCATTTACCCGTTGGATCCACATAGATTCATAGATTCAGCAACGACATCCACACTTTGTGGTACATGAACAAAATACGAGACGTCGTATGGGGTTGCTACGGGAAACATTGGCAGAATCATTCTCCAAAGTCAGGTAAGAAATCTCACTAAGCAAGGTACTCTGGGGCTAACTGAGAATAGCTCAGGACCTCATGCCGATGCTCCTGAGTGCAGAAGCTGAGAAGACTAATTCAGCTATCGAGAAGTAAATGTGTTATCAATTTTAGTGGAAACCAAGCTGCCAGTGGTGTATGATCAACTGGAATAGCATACCACACTGCTGAAAAGAGTGCTGAGTCGTCACATCCATATTCACCGGTGAAGCTACCGAGTGCTGAGGTTGTTGCTGTGACCATGCCTCGTTACAGGTTGCCATTGGTGCTGCTATAACAGTTGCCGTTCGAGCTGTCAGAGCTGCGGTCAGTGTTGGTTCAATACCTGGAAAAAGAAAGTAAACTTGTAATGCATAGGGTGACTTACGTACGTTTCAAAATAGTGAACATTCACACACCTCTCTCAATTCAACACCTATGAAACAATATGACGAATCAATACCAGACATGTTGTATTTTCAATGATCATTTACAACCGTTAATATCAAATTATAACTTTGCCAGCCATTTACGTTACAACTATTTTACGTTACAACTATTTTCGACCAATACTATATAATGTCTTTATTCTCAGTGATATAACGTATGGTTCATAATGAAGAAAATCTTGACTGAGCACTACCTGAGGTGAAGTATACTTCTTTCAAAAGTTTAGACTCACTAGTGTAAATATAAATATAGCCACATACTTCAGGCAACTGTTCTAAACTGATTTTTGATAAATATTTCACACTTTTTAAAGGTACTGCTTTTAACATGAATTGATGTATTGTAAAACAAATTCGTAAAGATTATCGTCATAATCAGTGAAAAAGTCGCGAATTCTTAACAAAAACGTTACACCAAAACGCAGCTTTTCACATGTACTATAAACTTTGAAAGGAAGTATTCAGAACCACTGTACATAAAGCCTTAGTTAAAGATGAGTTAACTTGTATGTTTCCCAAATACATAGTTTTGATATGGGACGCCTGGCAAGCATTTTTCTCAACCGCGAATCAAAAATAGTTCACAGTGCAGCGACCATAGTAAATGATGAAATCATCTGCACTCAGGAAATGTTTCTTAAAAGTTTTAAATGGTTTGATGATCACAACTGTATACCTGGAGAGCTAGCAGAAGGATGGCGTTGTAGTCAGTGGCCATTGAGGGACTGATGGCAGCGTTAAGGTTGATTACTGGGATTGCCAACTGAGAATGCCAATTTCAGGGGACTGGTTGAGGAGGCTGCGTGTCGATGACAGCTATAGATGACAACCTGGATGATGGAGACATTGGACTGCTGGCGAGACACCGAGACATCTAACCTTGTCTTTGTCTGATAAAGACCCGTTGTTTTACGGTAATAACATCTGAAGAAAGAAGGTGAAAACATCTTAAACATCGTAGTCACCATCATAGGTGTTACTTCATATGGTATATAAACAATGCAAAGGTGAGAAGCCATTACTATCAAGTTTAGAAACACATGGAGTTCAACTTACTGGTTACTCCTCCTCCCAACGCCACCTGGACGACCCGGCTGGCTTCCGTATTCGGCCCTTGTCTACAAGGAAACAATTCTTAGACATTATCTCCAGTCCATGGGTCACAGTAACTTTTACCGTTGGATCTACTTAACATGTTCGTGTACTCCCTACTGCACGTGAGCATTTTCAGTTTTATCAGGGGTGTCAGAGTGAGGATAAATGAACGCCTTGAATTTGTTAATCTGCGTCTCCAGGAAACTAACTAAGACTACTAACACAAGGAACATTTTGACGCTTAACTGAGACTAGTTAAGGCCCAAGCGCGACAATGGTAAGATTGTTTCATCAACAGATTTGAAGATGATTGGTAATTAGGAGTGAATAGTCTTGTGCTGCAGTCAACAAGGTCTATTTTAATTGATGAGATGAGCAACGACCTGCACCCTCGTGGTACACTAACAAAATGGCCGTATTGGCTCTTACAACCAGCATGATCAGTTTGGGGAACGTAAAAACACAGCAATCGTCATTCTCAAAAGTCAGGTAAGATGTCTCACCGAAGTCCTCTTCTCCTCATCGAAAATACGTAGCAGCTCCTCGTAGGGAGTTTCTTGATGCTGTCTGTGCTGCTGCTGCTGCTGCTGTCGGTGCTGCTGCTGCCGCTGCCTCTGGAGACGGGACTGATGCTGTTGGAGCTGTTGCTGACGGTGCTGCTGCCGCTGCAGGCGGTGCTGCTGCTGTCGGGGTTGTTACTGCTGTCTGGTATGCTGGTGCTGTTGGTGCTGCTGCTGCAAACGGGGCTGCTGCTGCTGTCGGGGCTGTTGCTTCTGTTTTTGTCGTCGCTGTTGTTGAAGCTGAAAGCGTTGTTCCTGTTGGTGCTGCTGTTGCCTTTGAAGTTGTTGCCCTACTTCCCTTTGCCTGTATCTAGCATGGCGTCTCTGTCTCGCTTCATCAGCTGTCTGAGCCTGAATCAAACAAAGAACATGAAAAGGATCCAGGAACGGTTGTTAAAGTTATAAAATGCATTAATGTAGAACTACTTCAATATACCGATCTGAAATGGGTTCAGAATTCTTTGAGAAGAAAGCAATGTAGAGAAGAATGTCAAGCAGTTCTTCTTGATCAGTTAGAACATAGTCATGAAATACTCCGGAGCGAAATAAAAACACATAAACTGCTGCTAACATTCTTCAGATATATTTGACAGTGCAGAAAACAATTTGCTTCTGGGAACCTAATCTGATGTTGAAGTAGAACTCGTATTGAAGAATAACGTGCGGACGGACGGACAAGACACAAAATCTGTGTCAAAGACTTTCAGCTATTGAGGATGCATGCCTCTCAATGCGAGTGAACCAAACTCCCAGTGATGAACTCCAATAGCATACTCACTGCTGTAAGAGTTTGTGTCGCCACATTCATAGTCACCGGAGCTGCTGCGGTTGTTCTTGTGGCCAATGTAACTGCTGGTGGTGCTGCTAGTGGAGCTGCTGATAGGGCTGTCGATGGTGCTGTTAGTGGAGTGGCGGACGGAGCTGCTGATGGCACTGGTAATGAAGGTGACGATGAGGCTGCTGATGGTGCTGCCAATGAAACTGCAGAGGGAGCTGATGATGTGACTGTTGATGGAGCTGCTGTCTGTGTTGTGTCCCGCTGCACAAACAAACGTAACAATTTGGGTGACTAACGTACGTGTCAATATAGAGTGCATTCACGCTCCCATATTCAATCCCATGAAACAATTTGACGAATCAATACCAGACTTGTTGTATTTTCAATGATATTTACAACCGTTATAAATTATACTTGATTTGCACTGCATATTACACAACCATCGCTGTACACATAAAAATATAGTCAATGACATTGCAACTGTCATGGTCTGATACTTTTATTGTCTTAATTCCGATGATATTACAACTTCTATAAACCAAATAACGTTTACCATACTTTCAATGACATTATATCTCTGAGGGTGTGATACAAAACACTGCAAAACACGGTCACACTGCAAAACACATCGACATTGAATACATGCCATGCCATAAATTTCGTTTATCAGCCATTACGTTGCCAGCTCTACAAATATATGCACCCGAATGGAAGCACCATATTTTCGTGGTTTCTTTTTGTTGTACTTTTTGATGTAACCATGTGCTGTCCGTGTTATTGACAGTGTGCCTTGCCTTGCAATGCCTGTATGCAAATACCGAACTGCCAGCGAAAGACTTCTGCCCGCATCTCCCTTAAATTTCATTCTAGTCAAATCATATCATCTGAATATATATGCCTCATCTGATAAGGATGAGTTTTAACACGTTTCTACAATTGTATCTAAACATACTGAAAGTCACATCCAACTTTTGAAAAAGTGCCACTCTAAGAATGTTTTCCTCATCGTTGAAATTTAGTCTCACCAATTGATGTATATTCCGAAGTTCTTCCCAAATCGAAAGGTTCATGTTCTGTCAAATTATATATTTGACCTCTGAGAGTATGTTGAACATCAAAATACACAAGTCCTACGATCAAGAGGTGATGTGCAGAGCTCATCGCTCATCACATGGAAGCCCCGGGTGTGATTATCGATATGTCCAACGCCTCCATGCAAGAACATCATGTCGTGCAACGTATATACTGTTAAACGCTGTGTCACGACTACACTCAGTAAAATCATTTGACTTACCATTCCCTTTAGACGCCTGATTTCATCTTTCAGCCTTCTATTTTCCTCACGGAGTCTTCTCAACTTGGCTGCATCGTTAGCCTGAGGCAAAAGACATCTCAGACAGGTCAGAGACATGCACGTCAATAAAATGATACATCTTAATACATTTCTGTACCTCTGTGCACCATCTTACTTATCACCTGATGGACGGACCATGTAGCTATAATGATATAGTGTGTAAATATCATCATACTTTGCAACCAATCAGAAGTGAGTAATATATGTTTCCAGGGGCGGATACAGCTTCTTGGGAAAGGTGTGTGCGTTTGTGTGAGAGAGAGAGAGTTGGGGGGTGGGGGTGGGGGGGGGTTGCACTCTTCATTTTTATGAGAGTTTCAATGGTTACTTATCAAACGTACATAACACCCCTGCACGCACACCTCTCCACCCCTCTGGTTACATACCGCCTTCACTAATTGTTGTATTACGTCAGTAAATATACATCACTTACTTATAGATGGATGAATTGTTTTAATAGCCTCACCCTAACCCTTACCCTAAACCATAACCCGTCGAAATAATCCTAATAAATATACATTTCAAGCGGGGTTATGGACGGAACTCTTACCATACTTTGCTAAGATTGCTTGTTGGTTTTTCACATCTTAGAAATAGTTATGGAGGAAATGGATGTAATCAGCATGCATGTCACGTTGAACGTGATAAAGTAGATTTAGTGGTATAAGGTAGGATCGGTGCAAAGACTATTTTAAGGTATTATGTTTACTCACGTCCAACTGAGCCGCCTCTCCGCCAGTTGCCCCAGTCCCCTGTCCTGGTGTACAGTAAGGCGTGGACGTCATTGGGGTTGAAAATGTTGTCGAGGTTGTTGACGAAGATCTCTGGTTGGCGATAGGGGTGCCTCTTGTGACCTGGCTTAAAGGTCCTGCTTGGGGTACTTGTGGTCCGACCTGTGGGGCTGGAGGGACGCCTGACACCAGGCCCAAACCTTGCAAAAGTCTGTTCATGCTGACAGAGCGTGAGAATAATAAAGCGAGAATATGTGTAATAATGAAGCGATTTGAACACAAGTGAACGATAAACGCGACGAAGCTGTCAAGGCAACTTTGTTTTATACTCGGCCATTGGATCAATCAGGGCAACAAGCCCTGGGACAATGGGGGTGGTCAGTAGCCAGCAGCTGAGATTTGATGTTGTCTCGTGCGGATCAAGGAAACTGACATCATCAGTCGCTTGAAACAATGGAACCCAGCCTGAAATATCGCCACGACTCTACTCTGTCGCAAAGGGTTATGTAACAACGCTCTAGCTGGCAAACACACACAACTCGTTCAACAAGAAATATCCTGAATTGGGGACAACCTCTGATGTTTTTCCCCTGAAATTAACAGCAGCAGTTGACGTTGGAAGTGTAAACTACTTCCCATATAAACAATTCTGTTCGGAAAGAGTTCCTTCCGTTCCCCCATATCTTTTTGTAACATTACCGTGCCAGGGGCCCTTATCATACAACGTAGTGCGACCCTATATATATTGTAGTTATTTTTGTGAGTTCTCTAGTACTTGTTGTGCTAGGTTTTGTTAATAATTTCAGTATATATTAATTTATATATATCATTTGGGATGGGGGAGCGGGAGGAACTCTTACCTAATAATCACACGTGCACAAGCAATGTATAATCAAAGGACTTTCAGTATTGTATAGATTGTACACACACCAAATAGAGACACTCACAGAACGATTCACGGTATGAATTCAAGTATTATAATTCGTATGTAATGACACCGACTGTGCTATTTTATTTATTACCCACGCCTTACCTGCATAAAATTAACAAAATAACGTGTTTTGTTATTTGTATGGTTTCAACCCGAAAACTGGTGGTTTCATAAATAGAATTTCGTTGAGGACTAACCTTTGCAGTTGTTTTGACATGGAATGAGTAATGATACCACAGCCGTAGATGCCATGATATTGTCTGTAATACCATTTATGAGGGCACCCATGAAGGGCCACCTCCTCGTGGTGGGTGCTGGGTAACGCTAAGCGCCCTTCGACCCCCCGTTGTGGACCCGGGGGGATACTAGGTCCACCAACCTGTTGGCCGTGGGTTGCGCCCCTGTGTCGGTGGAGGACGGGAGGCTGGTGGTTGAGGGCACTGGGGCCAGGAACAGTGTTCCTTTGCCCAACACACCACTTCGGCCCCTTACTTCACCTAGACGGGTGGTTGAACAGGCCCGGTTCAACCAATCGGCTGGTCACGTCATGCCCTGCGCATGGAAACATTCATTTTTAAATGTGCATTTTTCAACACTATTGTGATTGATTAAAACGACTGTGATCAATAAAATGTTCTATTGAAATTTTGATTTGTTCTTATAAATTATTGATCCATTTAATTGCCTAGAGTCCTATGCCAGAAGGCGGTGGCTCATGGGCCAATCTGGCAATGGAGACCTCTGAATTCTGTGTTTCTCCAGAAAGGTGTCAAGGGCGAACCAGTCTGTCATTTATTCTGTTAGATTCGACAGCTATTCAAGTGTTTATTTGCTTGAGTATAACATCCCTGTAACCCTGGTGGAGCATGCTGGTTTCCGCTGTACCACCGTCCTTGTTGACACTCCATGGTGGGTGGGGAGCAGGGATGTTGAACACTTTTCCTACATTATGGCTCTTTCTCTTCCATCTGGTTCATCTAAACATAAACGTCGATATGTAAAATCTACATCGTCGGATGAAGGATCTTCTGACACTGTTGAATCGTGGCCGAGGTTTATTGTTATCTCCTCTGAAGACGATACGCCGTTACAACTTAACCCTTTCGCAATCTCCAAGGGCATTCATGGTGTCTGTGGGGAAGTGAAGGACGTTACACGGCTTCGAAATGGCTCACTCTTAGTGGAATGTACCCGTAAACAACAATCGGTCAATCTGTTGAAACTACAACAATTTGTGAATAAACCCGTTGTTGTGTCAGTGCACAGAACGTTGAATTCCTGCAGAGGTATAGTCAGAGACAGGGCCCGGTGCCTTTCTGATATGAATGAGGATGACATCGTCAATGAACTAAAAAAAACCAGGGCGTAACCGCAGTAAAGCGTTTTTCGAAAAAGAATGATGATGGCACAATTGTCAAGTTGAATACATACTTGTTTACTTTCTCACTCTCCGTACTACCAAAAAGTATAAAAGCTGGGTACTTTAACATCGGAGTTGAGGTGTATGTTCCAACTCCGCTCCGATGTTTCAAATGCCAAAAGTTTGGTCATGGGGCCAGGTTCTGCCGTAACACCACTGTATGTTCCCGTTGTGGTGGTGCACATGAACTCTCTGAGTGCACTAATAGCATCAAGTGTGCTAACTGCAGCGGAGGCCAAGTGGTCAAAATCATGCCCCTTCTATGAACGTGAGTCTACCATTCAAAGGATAAAACATACCAACAATATTTCTTATGCTGAAGCTAAAAAAGCAGGTAACTGTTTCAACAAATTCAACAATTTCATATTCCACTGCAGTTTCTTCTCGTGTCAATACTTTCAGACCTCCCATGACATCAACGTCGTGTCAAACGTCAATATCCTGGGTTCATGAACAATTAACAATAGATCAGGCAAGTCAGACCTCTCAAATGGGCACCTCTAGTGTTTTGACATCGGCATCCCAGACGGAGACTGTCACATCGCTGCCTTCAGCAGATCCTGCGTCTGAACCAGAATGTGCCACAAATTCATCGCAGCACAATAAATCATCAAAAATGAGAAAAAGGAAAAGAAAAATCGAGAGGAAGGACCAGGGCCCTTCAACATTTGGAGATGCCTTCCTCTCAGTCGTCTCTGTACAGGTTCAAAATAAATTTGAACCTTTGGAGATGGAGGTCAATCCCTCTTTCCCAGTCCTGGGAATAGACCTCCCTCAATCCACGTTCTCCAATTGATCCTCCATGAGTGGCTCAAATAACATTGTTCAGTGGAATTGTAGAGGACTAAGAAATAATTTTAATGATTTACAACTACTAATACAAGATTTCACACCATCGGCATTTTGTTTACAGGAAACTTATCTTAAAACCACAGATCAATTTGATATACGGCAGTATAATTCATATAACTTCTTTTCTCCTCCGGGACTCCGAGCTACTGGATGTTCTTCAATTTTGGTTCGACAGGGTATTATACATAGCCCTATTCCCCTAAATACAACACTTCAGGCTGTTGCAGTCAGGTTGACTTTACACATTGCCTTTACATTATGCTCCCTTTATGTGCCGCCATCTTCCACTCTTCACCAAACTGATCTTCAGGCTCTTTATGACCAGCTCCCCAAACCGTGTATCAATATGGGTGACTTGAATGGTCATAATCCTCTTTGGGGTAGTTCTGATACAAACAGAAATGGGACAGTCCTAGAAGATTTTATTTCAAACAACGATATGTGTATATTTAATGATAATTCGAAAACATACCTGCATCCTGGCACAGGCACATATTCGTCTCTTGATTTATCACTTTCTCACACCGATCTGTTAAATGAATTTGAATGGTCAGTCCATAGCGATCTGTGTGGCAGCGACCATTTTCCGACCATTCTTAAAACACTAACTCCTGCTGATGTTGCTCCATCATCAAGATGGAACTTCAACAAAGCAACCTGGCCTTTGTTTGAATTACTCTGTATTGACAAACTCAATCCTGCTCGTTTTATTGATGCTCTTGATTCAGTGCAATTATTCTCTGATGAACTACACAAAATAGCTGTTGAGTGTATTCCTAGGTCCTCTACAAATCCACATATACGTAAACCATGGTTTAATAATGACTGCAAACAAGCTAGAAAGGCACGGAAAAAAGCTGAACACTATTTCCGTCGCCACCCAATGGTGCATAATTTAGATAAATTTAAAATTTTAAACGCTAGAGCACGTCGAACCTTTAAGCTAAATAAGCGCCAGTCGTGGCAAAATTACGTTTCGAAAATAAATTCACGGACGCCGATGTCCAAGGTATGGAACATGATCCAGAGAATTAAAGGTAAGGGTACCAAATCAAGCATTAATCATCTCAAAACTGGGGACCAATTGATAACAGATAAATCTGACATCGCAAATAAACTGGGTGAAACACTTGCAAAACATTCTTCCTCGTCAAACTATGTTGCTAAATTTCAAAAATACAAAACATTGCAAGAAAAGAAACAAATCAATTTTCATTCGGATAATGGGGAAGACTATAATGAAATCTTCTCTCCACGAGCTTCATACTGCTCTTGAACAAGCTCACAATACTGCAACAGGAGCTGATAACATTCATTATCAACTCCTGCAACACTTACCGGAATCTTGTTTAGAAACACTATTAAATATTTTTGATGACATTTGGACATCTCGTAACTTTCCTTCCTCTTGGCGTGATGCCATTGTTGTACCCATACCTAAACCTGGACGTGATCATACCGATCCCTCAAATTATAGGCCCATTTCCTTGACTAGTTGCGTTTGCAAAACCATGGAACGCATGGTCAATAACAGATTAACTTGGTACTTAGAGTCCAATAATTTAATCACAAATATTCAATGTGTTTTTTGTAAAAATCGCAGTACCATTGACCATTTAGTTCGATTGAGTCATTCGTTAAAAATGCCATTCTTAACAAGCAGCATGCAGTGTCAATATTTTCGATTTAGAGAAAGCCTATGACACGACATGGAAGCACGGCATTTTACAAGATTTACATGATTTTGGTTTGAGAGGCCGTTTGCCTCAGTTTATATCCGAGTTTTTAACTGATAGGCAATTTCAAGTCCGCGTGGGTTCTACCCTGTCTGACCATTATAAGCAGGATCAGGGTGTCCCACAAGGTAGTATTTTGTCTGTCACATTGTTTAGTGTTAAGATCAATAGTTTATCAAAAGTCTTAAGTGATTCAATCGATGGGTCACTATTTGTGGATGATTTTAATATTTCTTGTCGTGGGAAAAATATGCATACTATTGAACTGCAACTGCAGTTG